TCGTGCAGCTTGTTGATTTTCCGATACGATTTGAAGAGGGTTCTCCTGATTGGGATGATTTCAGCACGGAGTGAGTCGAGTTCATCAGTGTCGAGATGTTGTAAGGTGACTGCTTCTTCGCTAATGTTGTACTCCTTGAGTGTCAGTTTAGCAGAGGTTTCGTAGCGCTGGAGAAGAGTTTTGAAGAAGCCAATTTGGCGACGAATCTGTCCGCTGCCATCGGGTTCCATTGTTGAGCAGGCTCAGGCGATGAAGGATAGACTGTATCAGTGATGGTTGACGGTGTCGTCGACGGGGTGACTGTCGATGAAGAGGCGCAGAGGTGGGTAAGGGTATCAGTGATGGCTGATGGTGTCGTCGGAGGGGTGCTGTCGTTGAAGAATCACACAGGTGGGGTAAGGGTGTCAGTGGTAGTTGACGGTGTCGTCAGAGGGGTGACTGTCGTTGAAGAGGCACGGAAGTGGGCAAAGGGTATCAGTGGTGGTTGACAGTGTCGTCAGCGAGGTGACAGTCGATGAAGAGGTACAGAGGTGGGTATGGGTATCAGTGATGGCTGATGGCGTCGTCGGCGGGGGTGACTGTCGAGAGGCACGGAGGTGACAGTCGATGCAGAGGAACGAAGGAGGGTGAGCGTATCGGAGAAGGCAGATACGTTTGGCTCAAAAACCGTTTATTCATTATTCTAGACTGCTTATATAGCATGTAGAAATCTCATTAAGAGGCTTCATGGCAAAATATATGTGAAAGGCAAAACATGCTTCATGGCAAAATATATGTGAAAGGCAAAACATAAGTGAAAGGTGATTCAGTCAGTAGATAGCTAAAGGTCATATATTAAAAGGTGATTCAACCAAGAAGAATTCCGAGCATATGATAATTCTTCAGCAGAAATTCTGTAGGATTACAGAAAGATGCGGGGTTCTTGGAGAAGCGGGGGAAATGCTGTTGCAACTTTGCGCCTCAACACCTCTTTCCACCACAAAACTGGCACTAACAGCAAGGATGTCCATTAAGATCGCTGAGGTCCGCACCAAGCAACGAAAAACTCTTCGGAATTCCTCGAAACCCCTTCAAAAATTTGTACATTAATGAACACAAATTGTTCTGAGATTCATGGCGTACCTAATATCAATGGTTTTATCAAGGTTGCTCTGTGTTCTGAGATCATCAATACTTCTACTTCGATACGTACCTACATATCATGTTGTTTATAATTTCGATGGAATAGTCAGATCAAACTGGATGAAAAACGCTTGAAAATCAAGCGGGTGCATGGAGCAAAAAAAACAAAAGCTGCTACGTCACTGCAGTTGTAGCGTAAACCTCGTTATGCCACCTTTTAATTGGTTGATCGAGTAATTTTAGAACAATGTTTTCATTCTATTCTTCTTCCAAATATACAATGGCTGGAGTGGTTCGTTTAATGTTGATCCGGTGTATTCAATATTGTACCCCATAATCTTCACAAGGTGAGTTCTGGTGAATTTCTCAATAGGTACATATCCTTCTTTACCGCTGAACGTCTTTTGGAGTGCGACTTCGTACTGATTCGTACTGAGACTTCAGTACGAATTAGTTGGACGTTTGAGCGATTGTTGCCTCGGAAATTGGCTTTTATTCACCTGTTTAAGCCTTCAACCGATCATTGTTGGTGTGGTTGATCAAGATGTACCAGCTGGTGAATTGTTGTCAAATCCACTACTGTACTCACAAGGCCGCAGAGGAACGAAATACACATACCAACTGTTTGCTATCAATACCCTCGATGGAATCTGGCAGGCAGCCGTTGTATTCTTCACTTCTTATTTAGTAAGTTTTTCTTCACACACTAAATTGAGCACGAACTTTTTTTTACCAAATGTGTACACGGTAAGCGTAAACTGCTTACGTCTACAATACCGCTCCTAATTTCTGGTCAATCGACGGTTTGCGACAGATTTTTCCGTCGCAAACCGTCGTTTTGCCATAACTTCTGTAGAAGTGGTCCAAATGATCTGAAATTCAGACCATCGATAGCCCTGTACAAGGCGAATCCAACGATACATGGACCTTCCACTTTCCTTCAGCTTTTTGACGTTTTTCCCAAGGAACTTGAGGTTCGAGTCTAAAATAACCTAAGGTGTTACCTGCGGACACGGCTGTGTCGTAAACCCTCAATCCAATTATGAATTTCAAACCAAGTGCCCTAAAGCCGTAAATACCAGCATATTCAGAAAGAGCATGATTCCGTGATCATTTTGATACTTTTCATGACAGGGTTTCAGCAAGGTTCAGCTGAAAATCATGGTTCACTGACCACTCTTTTTGATTTCCGGTTTGAATCGGCTTGAGGAACAGTATCTGACTTATGGCCAACGATCCTGGGAAGCTCTTATTGGCTCCATAGAATATGATGAACAGCTTGGAAGCACAACACCCGCCGTAATTGTTCAAAAAAAACAAAAGAGCGCAGATCCCCGTTTTTTTCGTTTTTTTTTCTATAACCCTTGAGCTGGTCTAGTTTCATAAGCTGGTATCCTAAAAAAACTAAAAAAGTCGCAAATTGAACTCTGCTTCCTATCGAAGTACCTGAGGACACTCGTTAGCGAGCGAACCTCGCTATAATTGTAAACAGAGGGTTATCGTTGGGTAAATCAGTCAGGATTCAAATAACGTATTCCATCGCACAAGAAGTGATTAAAATGTGTTTCCCAAATGATGCTGGTCATTAAAATGCCCATTTTCTTGAAAATGGAGGGGTTTCGCTTGATGTCATTTTAGGACGATACAGCCTTTTCAGTTCGAAATCGATCGCCGGTTCAATTACGAGCACACTAGCACAATGTGCCTAATCTTTGGAGCCATCTCTTTCCCAAAATTCGTGAAAGTCAAGAATGAAGTCCAAAAGAAGGGTATTTTAGCTACTTGAAATGAGCACTACTTGCGATACTTGGGTAAGTACTCGATTTTCAGCGTTTTTAAACAGGATTTCTAGCTCTCTGAGTGGCCCCATAAGTTCCATAAGAAAGCTACGTACAGAACGTCTTGTGCTTTCCAACAACTTGGTGGAAAACAGTGGTATATTCTAGACTGGTTGTTGTTATCGGGTGCCAACTTCGAGACTTCATTTCAAAGCAAAATTTACGCGTTTTCCAAAGGAAGAATCCCCAGTCAAAGTTACACCATTCGAATCCCCATGAAAAATGCTATCTAACCATATGAAAATAACCTCATGGATTTTTCTACAATTTTTCGCAGTTTTCCCTGGCTATCCCTGTCAGCGGTCAGTTGACCTCCTAAATAGTTATCCCACCGATGGTGTCAGGGCATGTATTGATCAGTCTTAATAATTTCATCCACCAACATGGTCTCTTCTGTTCACTAAAAGATTCGTGAGTACTGCCGTCCTAGAAAATGTTTCTCTTATTTCAAATTTGAATTTTCATCGAAATTTCGAAAATTTTGTGGAATTTGATTACAAACTCCTCCATCACAGATTAATATTCGTTTATTAGTAACTCCTCACGATCATGGAGTTACTAAGAATTGCTCAACTGAATTACCGTATTATATTATAATTATTATTGTATTATATTATTGTTATATTATATTGTAAGACAATCGAATGGTTTCACGATGTGCATACCATTTCTGATCGACTCTCCGAAGATGCTGGTATCTCGCTGTTGGAAGAATGGCAAGACTCATGATATCTAAAAGCCTAAAAAGCGAATCTTGTGGAGGTGCTGCTACTCGCAGACATGCCATCATACAGAGCTATCTTTCCATGTAGAGAGGCGTGAATTCTTGCAAGTGAAGCAAAAATTGAAAATCGTTCTAGATGAAAACAATTTCAGTAATACCGTAATGCAATTAATGATCTTCTTTCGACTATGGAAGTCTAGCTTGGCGGTCCCTGTGAATCATGCCCCAGTCCATCAGCGCGCTTTAATCACGACCAGGATTACGATAACAATCATTCACACGGACTCCCAAACAGGGCACATCGTTGCTGAGGAGGAGAGGGGGGTCGTATTTGGGCAGGGAAAAATTTATTTCGATAGTTGATTTTTCTTGCTTCACGGACGTTGTGAAGGGGGGGGGGTCGTACTTGGTCATTGTTGGGAGAGGGGAGGTCCCAAAAAGACCAACCCCCCAAAAAGTCGTACAGACTCGACTAAAATCCCCAACCGATGATGTGCCCTGCTCCTGAATCTTCCTTCTGAAATGGTAAGTGTTCAAACAATAGTGGATTTTATCGCGATAGTTTTGCGTTTTCAAGTTATCCTGGGTACCCACATTTTCATAACACAACAAGTATAGTCTAATAGTTGCTTTCTCCATCGTTATCGTTTGCACGAAGGCCTCCAACCGATCGCAGCTGTCGACCTCGGCGGTACCTGCACTTATTACCTTAGGACCTTTTCGCACATCATCAACTGGTTACGAGCCGAATGTGCTTGAGATTTTACAACCTGTTTGAATGGAGTGGATACGAGGCTCAAGTAAACCATTTTACCATATGTTTGTCATGATTCTATTCGACGTTCAGGGTAACAGCTGAGGATTTTTGAGCTCTTCGAGGCTAGAGCCTTATAGCGGAATTAGTTGCTTAAGGCAGTAGAGCATAGAAAAATCTGGCGCATAATTCATTCCATTTGCAGGGTTTATCAATAAAACGAATGTTAGTCTATGATGGAGGAGTTTGCAATTCAAAGCACAAAATTTTTGATTGACCATGTTGGTGGATGAAATTATTGAGACTGATCAATACAGTGCCCTGAAACATCGGTGGGATAACTATTTGAAAAGGTCAACACCGCTGACAGATAGCCAGGGAAAAAATTGTAGAAAAATCCATGAGGTTATTTTCATATGGTTAGATAGCATTTTTCATGAGGATTCGAATGGTGTAACTTTGACTGGGGATTCTTGACTTTGGAAAACGCGTAAATTTTGCTTTGAAATGAAGTCTCGAAGTTGGCACCCGATAACAACAACCAGTCTAGAATATACCACTGTTTTCCACGAAGTTGTTGGAAAGCACAAGACGTTCTGTACGTAGCTTCCTTATGGAACTTATGGGGCCACTCAAAGAGCTAGAAATCCTGTTTAAAAACGCTGAAAATCGAGTACTTACCCAAGTATCGCAAGTAGTGCTCATTTCAAGTAGCTAAAATACCCTTCTTTTGGACTTCATTCTTGACTTTCACGAATTTTGGGAAAAAGATGGCTCCAAAGATTAGGCACATTGTGCTAGTGTGCTCGTAATTGAACCGGCGATCGATTTCGAACTGAAAAGGCTGTATCGTCCGAAAATGACATCAAGCGAAACCCCTCCATTTTCAAGAAAATGGGCATTTTAATGACCAGCATCATTTGGGAAACACATTTTAATCACTTCTTGTGCGATGGAATACGTTATTTGAATCCTGACTGATTTACCCAACGATAACCCTCTGTTTACAATTATAGCGAGGTTCGCTCGCTAACGAGTGTCCTCAGGTACTTCGATAGGAAGCAGAGTTCAATTTGCGACTTTTTTAGTTTTTTTAGGATACCAGCTTATGAAACTAGACCAGCTCAAGGGTTATAGAAAAAAAAACGAAAAAAACGGGGATCTGCGCTCTTTTGTTTTTTTTGAACAATTACGGCGGGTGTTGTGCTTCCAAGCTGTTCATCATATTCTACGGAGCCAAAGAGCTAGGACTTCCCAGGATCGTTGGCCATAAGTCAGATACTGTTCCTCAAGCCGATTCAAACCGGAAAACAAAAAGAGCGGTCAGTGGACCATGATTTTCAGCTGAACCTTGCTGAAACCCTGTCATGAAAAGTATCAAAATGATCACGGAATCATGCTCTTTCTGAATATGCTGGTATTTACGGCTTTAGGGTACTCGGTTTGAAATTCATAATTGGATTGAGGGTTTACGACACAGCCGTGTCCGCAGGTAACACCTTAGGTTATTTTAGACTCGAACCTCAAGTTCCTTGAGAAAAAACGTCAAAAAGCTGAAGAAAAGTGGAAGGTCCATGTATCGCTGCATTCGCCTTGCACAGGGCTATCGAGTGGTCTATATTTCAGATCATTTGGACCACTTCTGCAGAAGTTATGGCAAAACGACGGTTTGCGACGGAAAAAACTGTCGCAAACCGTCGATTGACCAGTTAGGAAAAAAAGGAACAATTAGGAGAATTAGGAAAATGAGGAGTAGCAAACTAACCCTATCTGAGAGATTAAAGATACGCTGTACTCTAGCCTGCGAGGTCAAATTTCTTTATCGGATCATCATCGAGTTTTTTAGCGTCCCATAACAATATTGTCTTCGTGGATGGAATTGTCAGGAAATGTTATTACCAAAAGCGTAAAAACAAGGGCTGCACCTAAACCAATGAAGCATTTCTTTAAAAGCCTCGGAGCACATACAAGGGAAGGATGGTAGGTCGAAATGGCCATATGAAATGAAATGTATACCGACTGAAAGGTAGGGACGGGATTACGAAACCGTCTTCCATATCTGCTGCGGACCTCAAAAAGAAGAAACAAAAACTTTACGAAGCTTTTAAGGGGAGCATGCTCGCATTCAGTGCGAATTGGCGGCGTAAGACTGGTGCGATTGTAGCAGCACGGCCGAGTGGGTACGTCGCAGGGCTCACGAATGCATGACCAAGGATTGGGATCCTTGATGTGTGGTTCTTTTTAGCGTCTTCTCGAAAGTTTTCTCTATACACTCCTAAGCGTTTTTGCGTAACTCTTGTGCTTGATAATAGCGTGACGTAATAATTCTGAATATGGAGCCATTGGGGACGATTCCATGGGGAACATTTTTTGGCTATTGAGTTCTTCTTTTATTGATTTGAAAAGCATATTTTTCACAGAAAAACGCATCCCGACTTATGCTCTGCCCTGAAAAATGACTATGCTCCTTAAGACATGACTGGAATCAAGGCCGCACGAAGTTGTGCACAAAGATGAGTATACTGGAAAATGCTTTCAAATGACATGGCGTTGATGTGGCAATCATGCTGGAGATCATGATGGGCAAAACCCACCAACCACTCACATAGTGTTAAAGGATGCTTTATTCCGAAGTGGTGCTTTCGCACCTGCTGGAAGTCTTCGGCTCGTATGACAATCTCTTCAGCCAGAAATGTTCTCCATGGAATCGTTTTCAGTGGATCCGTCAGTTCAGAAACATTTTCAGTGGATCCGTCAGTTCAGAAGCAGGACGGTTTCGTAATACTCGTCTGAAGGCCTTTCGGCCGGTATACATTTCTTTTGAAATGACCTTTTCAACCTACCATGTTCCCTTGTTAGGGTACTTCCACACCTTCAATGAAGAAAATAGGATAGGACAACATTGAGGGGAAGCCACGAGTATGAAAGCCGTTTTCAATTCGAATTTCCATAGTGTAGTAAGCCTTGAACCGTGGCGTATTGCCGTGTTTTTTGTTTATGAGAAGCACAGTTATCTGTTATTTGTTGACGAATTAAAATGAACTCCCATGGATGGAGTTTCTGGCTGATGCAAGGTTTTCTCGTCACTGTGTGACGTGGGACTATTAGGAAAGTGTTCCGAGAGCATTCCGAAAAGTGTTCTCTTTTCAGACATTCACTGATCAGGAGTGTGAGCTATGGCAGTTCGGATTTTTCATCGCATCCAGCATGATGTTCACCAACACCGTACATCTTGGTGTGGAAGTGCGATATTGGGTAAGTGTATGCTGCTGTTGACTATACTGAGCAGATAGTCCAAGCATAAGAGAAACTTGTATTTAGAAGTCCAAGCATAAGAGAAACTTGTATTTAGATATTTTTTGACGGTTCACAAGACCGCAAGAGGGTCTTCGCTAATTGTTCGAACTTATGTAAGCAATAAAATCGTTGAAAGCAATCTCAACTTCGGATCAGTGTTTAAACACCCTCGAAACTCCTCCTTTTGAAAAGCAGAGTGGAGATGATCTTTGGAGTGTTCAGTTAGCCAGCGATTTGAACTGCACCATCTGATTTCAAGAAGGTGTCGCCAAGCACATGGACGGGGACTTCGACCTGATTGATCTTCAAGACCAGTGCCTTACGAACCGCAATTGAGCGTTACAACAGCACAGACGTAGGTGGAATGATACTTGGAGCAACGTCTCAGGAATCGATGGCGCATCGACGACCAGAAAAACGCCCAACAAGGGAAGTCGTTAAGGTCATGGCGCGCTTTTTAGCTATGATTGTTCGCATGTTGTAGGGGTCAAGGATCGCAAAAACGGGTTTTATTCTTGCTGTGCATACCTGGGAATGCCGAAAAAATGAGTGACAAGTTTGTCTCTTCTTCTTCTTCTCCCTAGCGTTAATCCCGCCCGCAGGGTACGTTCTTGTTAGAAGTCGCCATTCTTTCCGATCCGGTGCATTCTGCTGTGGCATTCTTTTCAGAGAGGTCCCTCTTGATGACGTCCCTCCATCTTTTCTTTGGAGCTCCTCGTGGTCGCTTGCCCTCTACTTCGAATTCCAATGCCTTCCTTATTGGGTGGTCCTCAGGCCTCCTCAGTGTGTGCCCATACCATCACAGTAGCTGCTCTCATGCCTTCAGCTAGATCGGAGCCATCTGGGACCACCCTCAAGACTCACATCTGACTCTGTCTAGTCGTGTCCAGCCACAGGCCCATCTCAGCATCCTCATTTCAGCTGAGTGGAGCTGCCTTTCATGGTTTTTACATATGGGCCAGCACTCGCTGCATCGCAGGCCTAACTACTGCCCGGTACACCTTGCCCTTAGGCATTTTCGCCGCCGGTCGTAGAGGACTGTGGACTTCCTCTATTTAATCCGTTATCATTTGGTCATTTTATCATTAATTCGAGCCTTAACCGCCTGGTACACACTACCATCAGTGGCGATGCTGCTTCCCAGGAACTGGAAGCCTCGACCCTCCTGATGCTTCCACCGTGGCCATCTACCATGGATTCGGTGCATACGGCATTCTTTCTTCGGCTACTACATTGTTCAGGAAGTTGGTGGGACAACTCGCCCCCGCTCTACAAGGGCCTTCTATCCCTTTATCGGTACTCATGTGGACAAATGCATTCCCGACCTTCATTCCCTAACTCTGGGCGGACTTCATCCTCCGTTCAAGGAGTGAAGGGACCTGCCGTCGCCTCTGTGTGGGGCAATCCTTGCGGGAAATTCCTCGTTCACGGATCCCTCGAAGTAGTCTTTCCGTCTCTTTTTCACTTCTACCGGTTAGAGAATGGCAAAGTTGCGGCTGTTCACACTCTTTACTACCCAGATGTCTTTAGTAGTTCGACGCTGGGGTTCACCCAGGCGGAAGACGAACTTGTCCCCTTCTCTATCCTTCCAGCTTGTCGTACAGGGCGTCCATTTCCGTATTCTTGGCCTTAGCAACGGCCGCCTTAGCGAGTCGCTTGCAGCTCTTGTAGGCAGCGAAGTCTTCTGGACGAGAA